ACCACACCTATTGAAAGCTGAAGCCATGCAAATCGAAATGAAGCAAATGGAGAAGTAACTCTCTTCCTTTGATCAAGGAAATATTTTAATAGGTCTTACATATATTTTTCTTGAATTTGCCATGTCATCGTTCACGGCCATTGATCATAACCGATGTTCAACTCTAGATCTGAGCTTACACACTTAAGGCTCGCCATATGCAACCCCGACATCTAACTCATCAGACCGACTTCGATTATCACATTTATATTATGTTTGGTCATCTTAGTGAGAATTCTTGTATCATGATAAATATAATACCGTCGTCGCATGGTGCCGAAAATTAGCAATTTCACGACATGTAGGCTTGGTTAATAATGAACAAGCAGAATTAGCAACAACAAAAAAAGACTAATGAAAGACTAAATTACCCAAAAAAAGAATAATGAAAATACCAAAAGTCCCTTTTTTTTCTTTAAAAACAAAAAATAAAGAACTAAAGAGAAAAGTCGCGGTTGACTTTCGAGCAGGCAAGCTTGGGGGTGGACCTCGGTATTCCAAGCGAATATAACAATATTAATGGTCACAAATATAATCCAAAAAAATACAGGTTATCGCATGCATGTGGAAAGAGCATCTAACGTTAACTTGCAGCAGCTGTTCAACTTGAGTTTGAAGATATGGTAGGAATCAAACCTCGGTCTGCAGCTAATTAAATCTCTTATTGTCTTGAGAATCTTGTCTAATGAGGGGATGATCTAAGCTGTTAATCCGGTGGTGATTGGGTTTTGAATCTGTCTTAAAGTAAGCACATGTAGAGCACCTTGGAATTTGCGAAACCCTCGTTCGTTGAACATGCAAGAAGAGTTGTTAATCGAGGATCGATCTTATCTTTCATGGTTTCCTAGATTATCTCCCACAATGATTGTCCGGGGGGGCTTGTGTCTTCTTGAACTTTCCAACCCCTCTTGTTCTCTACGCCTTTCTACACCAGTTTAAGTTTCACGAGAAGGAACCATCTCTAGAACTTTTCTTCTTTTATTAGTTAATGAAGTGGGGAGAGGCGAGTAGTCCGGGTGAAACCTTTTAATGTTGCTACAAATGTCTCGCACTCTGTTACAGGATGTTCGGTTTGAGCCATAGTTATTCCGTGCCACTGGCGCCCGAAGAATTGAGGTTGGCGAACCCATTATCCACGGTCTCACCAAGATGCTACCAATCAAGATGTCTCTCGACACGAGATATGACGTAGTTATAAACGCAGCATGGGTCCTTCAAACATTCACTCATGTCGTGAATCAAATTCGGGACTTCATGGAAGACATGAGATCCCTTTATGACTAGGCTAGCCATCAATAGAACACATTGTCATATACGGTAGTATAATTAAATGAGTACCCGTAAGACTTGTTAGAAACTTAGATATATCTTATTAGGAATAATAGATTCAATTTTCAAGACACCGATTATGCATAACACGAGGGCAGTCAGTGCATTGGAAACCGTTAGATTTCCTTAATTAGTTGCTTAACAAGTATCTCTAGGGTATTCATTGACATAATCCTAATTAAATACCTTATGTTTCAATCATTGGTTTGCTTTTGTTGCTCTCCTCCGGTGGAAACTTAGAATTAATAAATTTTTCCCACTAGTGGAGTTATAAAGATGAATGCACAAGTATACCTCATGTTTTTGTTGTTAAATAACTGCATTCATTCCATAGGATAAGAAGAGATATAATAAAAGATGAATACAATTTCTTATATTTAATATATTATTTGGTAACATAGTTGTAAAGAGAAAAATCCAAATATGACACGACATGATACTGTCAAATCTCATTATAACACGAAAAAATGCGTATTAACCGACACTTTTTCATCATCATTAGATTACTTAACATGTGGAATCAAAGTTACGATGTTTTATGCTAACTCCAATTAAAACAAATGATGAATATAATTTAAGTAGACCTATCAAAATAGATCATAAATCCATTTCTTAAGTCATATTTGATGGTTTGGTTGTTATATGGGTTAATCATATTCGGTAAATTGATCATAAATGGGTTTAATATGGATGTTAAATAAGTTCATAACTTACTTAGATCCAACCCACCTCTATGGCTCTCTCGCCCGCACTTGATCTTGAGCTCGCTCACTTTGTGCTTTCACCTTAGTTTAGGTATGAGTTTTTCTAGATTTGGTTATTACAAAAGTATTTTAGCAATATTGGTTGAGTTGGGTATGAGCCACTAAATTTATATTGCATGAAAATGAGTTAATTTGGGTCGGACCATTTTTTACCCGACCCGACCCGCCCATTTGACAGGTCCGGATCGGAGCGATATTTCGTGTGGAGCGATGTTAGAGTAGAGAACTTTCTATCTCACTTTTTCCTCTGAACTCGCGGGTGACTCGTGTACTGAGGCGAAGTAGCTGGGCTTACTCAGCTTCACGCAGTCGGCCCGAGTTTTAACTGGCCGAGTCCATCTACAGGAGCCGGACCGATCCACTAGGTATATATATACATATTTATAATGTTCAAAATAACAAAAAGTGAAATGAACTCTATGTGAATAAGAAAATGTACCTAAATTTTTTTTTATTGAAATATATTTTAATAGTCATAAATCTCCATATGTAATATCATAAATTTGTAATCCATTGTTAAATGAGTCTATGTTTATCAATTATAGTAGTTATTATCAATACATATATTCGGAATTGGCTACAACTCAACTTTCCCCAGTATGAATTCCTTGTTCAACCAGCTAACGGCTCCACACACTCGGCATGCCACGAAACAAGAAAACCTCCGCGGAGGTGGATTTTTGGGATCCTCCGATGCTTAAGTCAATACGAGCCTTACAGAATGTACTTGACAAAGTAACGGCCACCGTCTGCAAAAATCTCTTACTTCAAATAGGTTCATTTTGAGTTATCTACACTTACTTTGATATCTCGGGCTCTCCGAAAATTGGGGTACCGCGGGGTAATCTTTCTCGAACGCGGGTGTGAACTACTGGCTTGCTGCTGCTCAAGTTTTACCCCCTATTTGCTAAAGAATCGAAGGCGTGTTTGTTCTAGTCCGAACCTTTGCTTTCACCTCCTTCTGGATTTTCCATCTCGTTCTTCTTCGATTGCAAGGCCTTCAGGTTTTGAAGCGGCCTTCCTAACCTCATGTCATTTCAAATCGACCGAGCACGGATCTTTTACCCGTGTCTGGCTTAGATTTCTTTAAATTCGAAAGACACGTGCATCTTAGATGTCTCCAACTCTTTAAATTCGAAAGTTCAATATCTTTTTTGGTAAAGATAAGAGCCCAAAGTAAAATCGTTATTAAAAAAGGGTTCAGAGTAAACCTTGTCTCAGATAAGTTATGGAGTGACAACTTTTAGTCTCAAGTAAGGTGCGGCCGGCATTTTTCAAGCTATGACAGAGAGCATTTTCGTCTGGGGCATTTCATCCAGAGCAGTTTTTTTTCTTGTCTCTCTTCCTTTCCTTTCTTTTCTTTCTTCTGTTCATCTTCATCTACTTCTTTCTTTTCTCTCACTTCCGGTGCCCGATCTTGCTCGACGTTTGCTCCTCCATCCAGCGTTGGCTTGACATTGCCGATGACTGTTCTCTCTCTTCTCACTCACGGCCATGGCCACCTTATCTCTGAGCTCTCAACCCTGGAAACGGTCGCCAGATCTTCAAGTTGGTGACCATGGCCAGTCTAGGTTTGATCACTCGCGACAACGGCTGCTCTCTCTCTCTCTCTTTTCTCCTCTATTATAGAAAGCGAGTTAAGTGTTTAATGGTGAAACTAAAATGCAAAATGCAATTTAGATATCCTCAAATTTTCGGATGCTTCTGGCCTTCAATCAGTAATACTGAAGTTCAGATCATGTTAATTGAGTTCATAAGGGACTCCAAATTAAGTTCTAGCCAAAATAAAAAGCGACTCCAAATTAAAAAATTATACAAATTAAATCAATATCTCCCGCTTGGACCAAAAAAAAAAATCAATATCTCCTGTGTGCATCACGTGAATCCAAGGTTTTCTCATATAAGTCCTACGAACATTTCCTGCCATGACTTCACGTATAAACATCGGAGATTACCATAAGAGAGAGAGAGCAATCATAGCCACGAGCTCGAAGCTAAAATGGACATGGCCGCTGGCTCGGTCAAGAGCTCAAAGCTTAAGCAACCATTGTCATAGTTGAGAGCTCAAAGATATGGCGGTCATGGCCGTGAGTAAAAAGAGAGGGAATGACTATTAGCATCGTCGAGCCAATGCTAGATTGAGGAGCAGTCATAGGTTACGCCGGTACAGAGGCTCACTGGCAACTTCATGACGCCGAGAAAGTCTAACAACGCAACGAAATTAGGGTTGAAGAAGAGGGGATTTGGTTGATTTGGCCAAATTAGGGTTTTAAATTGAGGCAAACCATTTGAAACCACGTCGGTTGGGGCACAAATGTTGAGTCAAGTCGTCGGTGAGCCATGTTGGATTGAAAAACTGATGAAATATTGCCATGTTGGATTTCAACGTCCTAAATCGGAGTTGTCACTTAAATGATCACGTTTCTTCAAAAAAAGTTTTGGCATCAAAGTGAGTGCCGTACAAAAGTTATAACACCTATAGTGTCCTTTTTCTTGTCAACATTTATCAATTTAATCTTAACGCATTGCACTGTGGCGATTAAGATCACAGAAAAATCATCCTTCGCACCTTCCGTATCTCGCAAGGTTAATGACCCACCTGAGATTCCATACCATCCAAAATTCCAAACTAATTAATACATAACTTTATATCCCAAATATTATTATCGAACATAGAAATTTCTGGATGTTACAGCGTCGGTCTCGGTCCAACACCGGAACCGGACCGGATTGAACCGGCCGGTTCAAGGTGGTTCCCAAGGGACCGGTCCGGTTCCCAATTCCACACCTAATTAGTAAATTATTTTTTTATTTTAACATTGGGAAACTCCCGCTTGTAGGGAGTAGAAGAAACAAAAAAAAAATTAATTAATTCCGCTTCGGTCCGGTTTCTAGTTCCTCAAACCGAGAACATACCTTACCTGGTCCAGTTCCAAGTTCTAGGACGGAAATCGACCCACCCTGGAACCGATCACCCCTACACATAATAGTCTCCTCGTTGGGCCCGCCATGGAAGCCCATTAGGCCCCTCCTCTTCGGTCCTAGGATGATGTAGAGCGCTGCGAGGAGTAAAGCGCCCGCTGCGCAAAGCAGGACCACCATCGCCACGTGCACCCCGGAGACGTGCCTGGAGCCACCGCGCCCGCCGGAGTCACAACCGTCATTTCCCGAGAAGCAGAGAGAGGGGTTCCCTGAGAGGACGCTCAAGGGGAGCTTCGCGAAGAAGGGCGTGTCCGGCATGCGCCCGGAGAAGTTGTTATGGGAGATGTTGAGAGTCACGAGGTTTTGCATGTCGGCGATGAACCGGAGGTCCCCGGAGAGCTGGTTGTAGGAGATGTCCAACACGTTAAGCCGGTCGAGGTCGGCGAATTCCGCCGGGACATCGCCAGAGAGCTGGTTGCAGCTCAGGTTCAATGCGATCTCCAGCGCCGGGATCCTGCCGAGGCTCGCCGGGATATTCCCTGTGAGCTGGTTGCTGCTGAGGTCGAGCAACTGGAGCTTCGCGCACGAAACAAGTTGGGTCGGGATTGGACCGGAGACCTGGTTCTTCGCAAGGACAAGCTTGGAGAGCGAGGTCAGCGACCCGAGATTCGGACTGAGTGGACCTTCGATCAAGTTGTCAGAGAAGTCGATGAATTGCAACGAAGCCAGCCGATTCAAGCTGCTTGGCAAATTCCCTGAAATTGAATTCGAGTGCAAATCCAAGAACGTCAGGTTCCGGCAGCCGGAAATCTCGTCGGGGATTGAACCGGTGATCCGGTTCAACCCGAGGTCGAAGAAATTCAAGCTGCTCAAGTTCCCTATCTGAGAGGGGACCGACCCGGTCAGCTGGTTGTTGCTCGCTCTGAACCGGGTTAGCAACCCGCATTGCCCGATCTCTGGCGGGATTTCGCCGGAGATGTTGTTGGACAAGAGCAAGAGCTTGTTGAGCTTCTTCAATTGGAATATTCCCTTGGGGATGGGACCGGTCAGGCCATTCTGGGACAAATCCAGGGCCTCCAGGTTTTGACAGTTGGAAATGGACGGTGGGATCATGCCCTGGAGCTTGTTCTGCCACAGGAACAGCAGCGTCAGGTTCGTTAGATTGCCCAGCTCGGAAGGGATCGTGCCTGTGATTTGATTGTTGTCGAGCTCGATGTGGGTCATCTCGCGACAGTTGCCGAGCTGCCTTGGGATCTGGCCCGAGATCTCGTTGACGCTGAGCTGCAGCAACTCGAGGTTGGTCAGGTTCCCAACGCTCGCGGGGATGCTTCCGGTGAGCGAATTCATCGATATGTCGATCAAGACCAGGCTCTCACAATTGCCAATCTCGGGCGGGATGACGCCCACCAATTCGTTCTGCCACAGCAGCAGGCTCTGCAGGTTCTGCAGGTTCCCCAGCTGACTCGGGATCAATCCCGACAGCGAAGTCTTGTACAAGTAGATGTTTTGCAGATTGGTGCACCGGGCAAGCTCAGGTGGGATTGGGCCCGATAGGAGCGAGGCGTATATGGCAAGGGTCTCGAGCTTCTTGAGCTCGCCGAGGCTCGAGGGGAGGAACCCGGAGATGCTGGTCACAGCCAGGCCTAACATGACCAGGTTGGTGCAATTGCCGATTTCTTGGGGCAATGGCCCTCTGAGGTTCTTGTTCCCGCCGGCCCTCACAACTTCGAGGTTGCTAAGCTTCCCTATCCCGGTCGGTATTTTGCCACTGAGTTGATTGTCGTATAGCATCAGCGACATCAAGCTTGTGAGGTTCCCTATCAGGGCAGGTATCGAGCCTTCGAACCGGTTCGAGTTCAAGTAGAGTTGCTCGAGCTTGGGCAAGCCGCAGAGCTCGCTCGGGATCTCCCCCATCAGGGCATTGCCACTCAAGTCCAAGTACGTCAACTCGGGGAGCGAGCCAATCTCTTTCGGGATCGATCCAGTGAGGTTTGTCCCCGACAGGACGAGCTTCTGCAAAGAATGCAGCGAGCTCAGATTGTTGGGGACGTACCCGAGCAAATCGACATATCTCAGGCTCAACTCAACGACCTCATCATTGGAGTTGCAAGTGACTCCGAACCACCGGCATGGAATTTCGTCGGCCCAGTTCCAATCGCTCAATGCCTCAAGCGATCCGTTTAGGCTAGTCTTCCATGAGAGAAGGGCTTGGCCTTGGGAGTTGACGGCAGAGGCCAAGCGAAGGAAAGGCATGACAAGAAGCAGAAAAGAGAAGAAGCATAGGGAGGTGAAGAGAGTCCATGGATTTACAGGCATTAGAACAAGCAGCAATTAAAACTGCAACGCTACGAACTCCGAGGCGAGGGGAACAGAAAGGAGGGTTGTTTGCGCTTGATCAGCCTAGGGGGAGGCAATGGTTGGAGAAATCAAATCATGTCTTGGTGGGCTTAAATGTCGTTTCTTTGTCTCTCCTCTTTATGAATTTATAACCACATGCACATGCAAGAAGCAATTTAAATGTTCCCAGAATCTCCGGATCGAAGAAACAGCTAGGCATGATGTTTGTGCAGAGACAGAAGTGGAATTTCAAGATTGGTGTTTAGTTTCTTCTTCATGCATTTATTTACTGAGGTGGGATAGGAGAAAGAGAGAGCACTTGCATTTGACTACAGACACTGCCTTCCGCTGTGAAGTGCTTATGTCACTGTAGGAACCTTTTGTATCGTCATGCGAGTGTGTTCATTGGGGAATCTTGGCACGAGATGTTGCCAATTCTCACGTTGGAGTCCGAAGTTGAACATTGACCACAAAAGACAGAAAAAGAAAAGTCCATTGTTGACTTTGTTGCCAATTGTGTCAGCGAGAAAGAAGATTCTGAAATCCACTTTCCTAAAAAAATGTCGAAGTCATGGTCAAGATTTGGAAAGTCCAACATGGACTTGAACCGTGAGCAATATATATATACACGCGCGCGGGGTTGTGGGAGTTTTGCGCGCCGTGGTTGATGTGCAAAGGCGACTTTCTCATGGGTTTTGAAGTTTCGTTGATTACATCCTCTTGAAAATTTGTTAGTGCTTAATATTCGATTATATTTTGTGGTAAAATTTATTAATTCCTATGTGAGATTGAGAGATTATTTCATGAAAAATTATGTGGTTAAATGTTGTGTAAGTTATTTGATGTAATTGGGGTTGGGAAACACTCTAGTGTTTAAACACTTTGTGCTTAGTCTGGTCTTTTTTGCCTGATACTAAGGTTGGAAATATTTTAGGGAGGAAAATTTGAGTATGGAAATATTCGAACTCATGATTTCCTACTCTGCTACCAAGTGAGATTTTGGTGGGACTACCGCCAATTGTTCTAAAAGTTTAAGCTATTAAATGAACATGTGGTTTAATATTTAATATTCTATCACTCCCCCTCACTCTTAGTCCAATTTTTTGGCTTGGAAGTAAGCGTGGAAATATTTTATTGAAAAGGTAAATAGGGGTCTGGACTCTGGAAATATTCGAATTTAGGACTTCCGACTCTGATATTATATGAGATTTTGGTAGAATCACTGCTAATTATTCTAAATGAATGTGTGATGTATTATTTAATATTCTATCATATGTACTGACATTGATATTAAGCCTTGCCCTTATCATGAGCTCGTGCTCATTCTTGAATAATTGCACGGTGCTGTATCAAACGTCTCGTGCAATACCAGTAGGTTCTTGAATAGGACTGTTTTTGAAAGAGATTCCAGTCAAATGTACGTGCGTTCACCGCACGCGCAAGGGAAAGTCCCACGTTTCATGTCCTTCTCACGATGTTAACATTGGCACAATATCCCTGGACAAGACGACATGCATAGCATTGTCCACAGGGACGTGGGATCTGTCCTATAGCATTCGAAAGGTATAGGCTATGTAGATATAAATTATATCATATAATTGGACTAGACTTTAATCGCTTTTTTGAGATCCAAAGGGGTGTCACTTATTAGGTGTTTTGCTTCTCCATCTTTGCTTAGTCCGCATAAAAAAAATGTGATGTCATGTTGTGGATACTAACTTTAAAATTCGAATTGGTACTAGTGTATTTTAATTATAAAAGGTGAGAAGGGCAGTTTGATGCATTTGGTTTAGTTTTTCAGAGGAACATGAGCCTCTGAAGTTCGTTGGGAAAAGGTAGGGCGCTTAGTAAACATTTTCACCTATTATTCGGATTCACTTCTTGAATATATTCATTTGTGTTCAGATTTACTTTCAGAGTCTGAATATGTTCATTTGTGTGACCGGACTCACTTCTTGAATATATTCATTTGATTGTTCAGATTCACGTTCAGACTCACTTTTTGAATATATACATTTGTTTGTTCATATTCACTTCCTGAATATATTGATTAGTTTGACTCACTTCCTAAATATATTCATTCATTGTTTAGATTCACTTTCAGACTCACTTCTTGAATATATCCATTTTATTGTTCAGACTCACTTCATGAATATATCCATTTGTTTTCTTTTGTTTATTTAGATTCTCTTCCTAAATTTACACTCTTACCAAGCATAGTCAATTGTCGATTTTCACTTTGCCGATTCTTTGAGTATGTTTATCATTGTTTGCATGAGTAATGAAGGGAGGTCAATATGCCATTAACTGCATAGACAAGATAAAACTGTAAGGTTCGGTATGGGACAAGTCAAAGAGGATTTTACCTCAAATAATACTAAAGCGGGACCCCCTTTGGAAGGTGTGTGGTTTGGAGACAAACCAGGCGAAAGCTGGTGGGCTTGTAACGATTCGGTGCGATGAGGATGGGGAGTGATTGTCTAAAGAGGGCCCGAACAAGGAGCGGTTCCTAGCAGGCTTCTAAGATGACTAAAGGGGCAGGAATAAATCGAATTGCACACCAAAAAGTGGGAGAACATGTTTGGGTTGCTCTGAGAATCTTTTGAATGCCTTGTGAGTCAAGATGAGACTTGACCAGTGACAAGTATGAATTCACTTGTGTGTGTTCGTGAGCTTCACGAAAAGTACAAAATTGATATGTCCTGTGTATAATGGTGAGCCACTAGGTGATACTGATGCATCATGCCATTTGCTTCCAATTGAGTGAATGAATTTATAATGTTTTAATGGATCCCTTTGCATATCATGATAATAAAGATGGGACATTTGCTTATGATTTTACATGGTTACTTTGTATTGCCTTAAACTCATGTTGTTTGATCGGTGCTAGGATGAGTAGTAAAGTGATCTCCTACCTTAAACCTAAATATTTCATTTATTGAGTTTCGGCTCATCCCTTATTTTTCAAATGTGTAGGATGGTTCCCCGGGCATAGCAATGGAGCAGATGAAATGATATTGGAGATTGTTAGCTCCTGAGATGGATGGTAGTGTGGTCGATGTTTAGACTCGTTTTTTATGTAGTATGGGAGTAGTGGTGCAAGTAAACCCGACCTTCTTCCTAGGAATATTTATTTTGTTGTGATAATAACTACTGGTATTTGTATAAAGTTGAAGATATGCATAGTATGAAACTCATGTGATTTTCTTCAGGGATGTTGTGAAATATTTGTTGTGATTTCGCATGTGTAATTACAAAGATGAGTAATTGGAAAGAATCCATGTTGACGTTATGAGGCGTCAAAATGACGATGGAGGGGACTTAATGATGCCGGAGATCATCATCCCATGAGTTGAACGGTGGTTGAATAATGTACAGGCTTGCTTTTGGTTGGAAAGCATAATGAAATATTCACATAATTTCATACAAGAAATCCAACAAGTTTAATTAATATACACGTACATCTTTATATTAATATTAGTAACTATTGTTTTGATACATATGCCCAAACAAAACACAACACATTACATAAGTCATGAGAAGAAAGTTGGATTAACTAGCGCCATTACATCCATACTAATCCAAAAGCAAGCCTGTAAATTTCAATCACCGTCCAACTCAAGGGCCGATGTCCTCCGACACAACCTACGTTGCTATCACCGATCAGTGCGTCTCTCCAGCTTTTCACCTACTGTAAATAGGTCGGCACATGACGAAAATCTCAACAAAATTCTTTAACTTTTCGTCGTGAAACGTTCTCCAAATTTATACTGGTTACCCAAAAATACTTTCCGTTACAGTTCCGTCCATAAACAGCGGTTTAAAATTCGCCACGTTAGATTTTCAATTGCCATTATAAACTAATGGAGTATACTTTTGGGTCATACCAAGTCCACGGAACATACTTTTGAGTTACTGATACAAGTTTGGTACATCGGTAGGATGAAAAGTAGATTAGATTTATGCAGTGGCATGGAATTTAGGATTTTTGGGGCTAAAACCACCACCACCTTCGAAATTGAGAATTGAAGACAATTTCTAGGGTTTCCTCTCTCCCCAATTCCCATGGCTTCCACCCATCTCGACGAGGTGAGTCGCTTCCGTTCCTGGCGCGGTCCCGTTCCGCCGTGAATGCTTCGTTTCACCGGTTTGCAGCATCCTAATGCTTCGTTTCCCCGCTGTAGGACGACGATTTCGGAGGAGATCTTCCCGGGGCTCACGATGCCAGGCGCTCAGGTTCTTCCACCTCGCATTTTGATTTGATGTATCTTTCTCTGATGTCTCGTGCGGCTTTCGGTGGCGATTTACCTTGGCGGTGCTGCTGGTTCAGGCAGTAAGAGGGGTTTCGGAGACATTGAGGACGATGAAGACGATGTCTTTTTCGGATCCAAGAAGGTACCTGCTGTGTGTTTTTTAGTGTGTCGGGGCGTCGAGCAGGCGTCCCATTTCGTTTCAATTTTGGGCTGGTTGTGGAAATGCGTGCTCGTAAATTCGGGTGGCAGAGAGTGCTGGGCATGAATTGCAGTGTTCTTGGTGGCCCGTGCGTGTCTGCTGGTGGTCATACAGTTTTTCACACTTCAGTTGTTGGCCAGATAAAAGTGCTTTAAGTTTGCTCTGGTCCAATTTGATTCTATCGATACGATGAAAAGCGCGCACGAGCACGAGCACGATCATTCGGTCGTGTGTTGTTTGTCGACCGGTGCTCCTTGCAGAATGTTCGTCTTTGCAGTTTTTTAGCTCTCTGGTTTCTTGGTTCTGTTCTGGGATACAGCGACCATTGAGACTTTTCCCATTGTTCCCTCACTTGAATAGTTAACTTAAAGGCTGTGTTATGGTTTTATTGCGTGTTATGCTTATCATCGAACAGTTGATTCCCAGCATCTTAAGCTATTTGATGTAATTTGTGGAAGTTCACATTTCCCCTGTTTCTTACATACATATATTTTTTGAGTTTCATTTTCACTCAGGCCTTCGATTTTCAAAGTGCCCCCCTCTTTTTAATTATCACTTTTCTGCGTAAAAGTGTAATTTCTTTTTCTTGTTACAGGGTAATACAAAAGCAGAAGAAAATGCTCCTGGTGCGGCTACAGGAATGATCTTGTCACTTCGTGAGAGGTAATTAAGCACTTTTAATTTTTTTTGTTTTGTTTTGTGGTTTGTACTTTTGGCATGCTTCCAACAAGTATCTCAACCTATCCAGCTTGAGAATCTCTTACATTTTATATTTTCTTTTTTCAGTCTTCAGAACTGCAAGGAAACTCTTACGACATGCCAAGTATGTATTCTGCATTAGGTCTTTGTCATCTTATCCGTTGCTGCATCTTTATTCTAACCATCTGCAGGTGTAATTGTTGGTTTAATTGCTTGTGGTACGTTTCTTGGTGCAAGAATCATGTTTATTGTGAAGCTTTAACATTGATGAGGGCCGTGCTAGAGATGCTAAAATAAATTGAGGATTGTTTCTTTACGATTATAGGTTTCAAAATGTTCAAACTTGCTACACATCCATGTGTGACATATTTTTCGCGAATAATCCCCATCATCAAGGCATCATCTTGGTTGATGATAATTTAGATGCTCTCTTTTTCCTGGTTTGACCTCTTTCATAGCTTGAAGGCACGTGTTTGTGTTGTTGTGATGGTATTTTAAAGTAGTTATGGCATTTTCTTTTTCAAATTGAAGTGCACAATTCATTTGGCTGACGGCTGACTTATGCTGCTCTTCTTGTATCATAAGTTCCCATTATGGCTTAATGTTTGATGTCAATAGAGATCTGGTCTTACTTGGCAGAATGCGAATGTTGCATGCGATTCGATCTATGACCTATTTATTTGTTTGTTTGTTCGTATCTGAAACTGTTTGGATTGTTGATACCGTTGGGCTTCCAGACAGAACTTGAAGCTGCAAAATCTGAGGTTGAGAAGTGGCATTCTTCATTCCAAAATGAGTCCTTCATACCCTCTGGGACATCTGCTGGTTAGTTTCGTGTTAATCTGGGTATTAATCTTTGGATTTGGATGTATGACAGGAGCATGAGAGGGTTTGTTCACACTTATTCCTGTATATATTCTGATAGACTGACTTCTTCCTTGCAGATCCCAAGATGATAATCAACTGTCTTCAGACGCTTAGATCTTCAGAAGAGGGATTGAGAGAGCAGGTTGGTTCTCAGTATGTTTCTTTTCCCTTTTTCGATTTTACACTCAAAAGTGGTTTGTTATTTATTGATTCAATTTTCCTTTATTAGCTGGAAAAGGCAAAGAAAAAGGAAGCTGCTTTCATAGTAACCTTTGCAAAACGGGAGCAGGAGATAGCAGAGTTAAAGGTGAATCTTTTATTGTGGATTTGGAGATTGTTAGAATAGTTTGTACGTGTGATACTGTTTTATCCTATATCGCGTTGTTTTACATAAATGTTTATTCTCCTAAACTATATAGGCGTTTTTAGTTAACAAGCAGATGGAAAACAAAATGCATATGATTCTGACTGCATTGATACTCCAGTTACGAAGATTGATTATTTTTATTATCTTTTGCCTCCTTGGTTGTACTGAGTGTGGATTCTGTAGTAAGAATTCTAATCTATCAAAAGATAATTCTTGTAATTTCTGTTAAGGTACTTTGTGGAAAAGCAACAGGTACTAGACTTTTGGCAACAAAAGAAGAGAGTTTTTCCACAAAAGGAATAGGAAGAATAAACAAGAACAATAGCTTTGATAGAAGAGAAATGATAATCACTTCAGGGGTAGTATATAATGGCCACCTTCACAATAGTTATCTGGGATCTTTTGATGTTTGCTTGTCACCTGGTAGCTGTTTAAAATTGCTTCCCATATGTAATATTAATAATGCATTTTGTCCAACTCAAGATTTCCCTTTTATTTCAGTCTGCTGTTCGAGATTTAAAAGCACAACTCAAGCCACCATCTATGCAGGTAAAGCAGGATATATCTTGCTTCTTGAAATATGTTTCTATTGTATGGTAACAACTGAATGCATGTGAAATCTCATTTAACCGTGTATCTTGGCCAGTTAATCCTCTTGCTTTTACACGCCACGGTAGATTACCTAAGTGTGTTTTTCCCTAGGATTTCCTGGGTGATGATGGGGATGAGACCTATATTTTGGTTAAAAAGAATTAGGATTGGCTGGCTGTTGCTATGCAAAAGATTTTCTTATGGCTCGTAGGGAACTTTTGGTAACGTAAGTCTATTTCAGTTGGGTAATTCTTAGGAATGGCCAACTTTTGAGCCACTAATTTGTGTGCAAGTTATCGCTTTGGTGTTGGCATCTTATTTTTGGCTTATTCATATTTGTGTTGTTGACAGACAAGGCGCTTGTTACTAGATCCGGCAATTCATGAAGAGTTCACCCGTCTAAAGGTCCGTTGTTGAACTTTTGAATTGAAATTTGATTGGATATTGGACTTAGGTTTTCATTTTCTTTGCTATATGGACATTGTTTTAGTCAAAGTGTCTTGTTAACAAGTGTCTTGGGGCAAAAGACACTAGTTGAGAAAGTTGGGCGATGTATTTAATTGGAAAAGTACACATCACAAGAAAAATCATATACTCTGCATGGGGGAGTTTACATCTCCATGGCACATTTGCTTGAAGACGCTTCTCATCATTTTTCTTAGTAAAAGAATCCTTTTGTTAGGTGCAATGTCGACTAAAGTTAAGACTTTGTTTAGAAATTTTTTGAAGTCCTTTGACAAGAATTTTTTCAATAATGGGAGATGGGTCCAGCTGTTTTTTATAATGTATATGTGTTTCCTGCTAAAATATTTGCTAAAACTCTTCTGACTCTCCTAAAAATTTTACCTGACATTTGGTTTCCTTGGTTTTAGGATTTCCTCAGAGTAGGATCTACCTTCTCTGTAAAGCCACAAGTAAAATTAATGATTTCATGTGCAAGTTCTTAGTGGCTTCTTGTCTTTTCTTTTTAATATGTCAAAATAACAGAATGTGCATTGCTGTAATCAAAACTCAGTTTTCATGGTCTCGGACTAGCTGATTTCACGACATTAAGGTCTTCTGCTTTTGTAGCCCTACTTTTACTGCATTCCCCCATATGCTATATGAATATCCTTTTTGACCCCACATATGACTTGGATAATTCTGACCTTGGGTGTGGATCTCGGAAAAGAAACCTATTCATTGCTATTGCTTCTTAAATTTGAATGTTTGTTCTATCGCTAGAACTTGGTAGAGGAGAAGGACAAGAAGTTGAAGGAGTTGCAGGATCATATTGCTGCTGTTACTTTCACTCCACAGAGCAAGATGGGTAAGATGCTCATGGCTAAATGCAGGACCCTGCAAGAGGAAAACGAGGAGATTGGGAATCAAGCAGCTGAGGGAAAGGTTCTGTATCTTTATCTTGATATGCTGCAAATTTGAATTACTGAGTAATGTATTTTCTCGCTTGAGTCAAAGTCTATAGTAACGGTTATGGAGAAAACTGAGGCTCAGTGTTTTCAGAAAGCTTGTTTAAGCTCCTATGCATCTTGTCCTGATCTGAATCGCATAATCGAGTCTTGACAAGGTTTGCTTTGTGATATCACATTGTGGAACAACCAAAGCATTTGAGCTTGGATGTGATATAAACCATGTTAAAGATTCACGAGTTGTAACAAACAGAGAGAGGATCCTTGGGCATAGTAATGGCCACGGGCCGGTTTCGGCTCGGAACCGGCCCGGTCAAACCCGGGCCCAGCCTGTTGACCGGGCCCGCGGTTCGGAACCGGAACCGGCCCGTGGCCTACGGGCCCGGTTCCAGCAATTTTGGAGCTGGCCCGGAACCGGTTCCAAAAAAAAAATTAAAAAAAAAAAAAAAAAACCTGCAGCAGGGCCTGCACGTCTGCAGGCCCTGCTGCGGCCCGTTGCCAGGGCAGCCTTTGCAGGCTGCCTTGGCAACGGGCAAAAATAAAAAAATAAAAAAATAAAAAGATAACCGGAACCGGCGGGAACCGGCCGGTTCCGAACCGTGGCCATGACTACTTGGGCACAAGTTTCTTAATTCGTATGCCTTTACAACACCCTTTCCATTACTATCTATAGTCTTATGAATATAGTTGAAAACAGCACTCCTCTGTGAAAAGCTATGCTGGGTCTGGGTTCTGTCTAACTACTTTGAGAATAAGCCTTTACTTGTTTGTCCCCTGTTTCCGGCTTGCAGATACACGAATTATCGATGAAACTGGCTCTACAAAAGTCGCAGAACGCAGAGCTGCGGAGTCAATTCGAAGGTCTGAATATGCATTTTACTCCATACGTGCTCGTCCTTGTCTTCCGAGTTTGTACGGCTCTTTTTGTAGCTATTAGCTCAAGAGAACTTTACGTGTCTAATGTCATGAGCAATTTGTTTGTTACTTTTTAGTCTTGTAACTTTATTTTTCTGTTTTGGATGCTTGGATGCTGAATGATCCGAGAGACTGGTGTTTGCATGAACAATTTCACTTTTTTACTTTGAAGGAAATTAAGGAGTTTGAGGTCAAGCGTGTATATAATAGTATTTAAATATACAATGGTTTCTTTGTTCATGTTCCTGCAAGGCTCTTGTATTTGCCACTAACTTGCAAAGTACGCCGTGGTTGTTGCATGCAGGACTGTATAAACACATGGAAGGGCTCACAAATGACGTTGAGAAGTCGAATGAAATGGTCTCTTTCCCTCTCCCCCTCTCTCTGTGCGTGCATAGTTGTAAGCCAAGGTAGAGAGAGAGATTGACACAGCCTTGCTCTTTCTTCACTGCAGATGCTCATCCTGCAAGAGAAGTTGGAAGAGAAGGACCAGGAGCTGAGAAGATTAAGAAACGAGCAGCAGCAGCAGCAGCAGAGAACTATACCTGATGCCATGAGCGATAGAGTTTCTGCTATTGAGGGGAAACAAGAAGCGATGATGGTAGAGAGTTGATTAAAACATGAATTTTATTTATTGGACCGTCATATTTCTTTGGAGGGTTTATCCTCAAGTCTTGTTTTTTCTTGTACGTTAGATTTATTTTTTATCCTCAAGCCTTTCTTTGCGCTCTAAAAGCAAAAAAAGAAATTGGGAAGTATAATTGGCTGCATGTTCACGTCACTGGGTTGGTAGCATCTGAGAGAGGCCCATGCAAAAAAGCTCAACGTGGAGCGTCTCGACCAAGTCTAGGTGGCACGATCGGCGGATTGCTGAGCGGAAAGTGCAGGCTTGATTTGTCAAAAGTCAAGCCGAGCCACCTCACTCAAGACGGGTCTGCTTGCTTCCGCCACGGCATCCTCGGTCCGACTGTGTCGTCGGGTTCCGACTTTCTAGCGTTCGAACGACAGAACACTAGTTGATCTACAGAAAATGCTTTGTTGGCCAAAAACAATAGAATTGGCTTGGCCGTCGTTAAGATTGTGAATGACTTTCACTGAAATCCATAAGCTAGAATTTTATGAAGAACCCCGTTTTCACAGCAGTTCGTTTAATCGAAATTTGTTCTAATGCACATGTATTGTGTGTGTGTATATATATGACCTTGGACCTCGGGTTTTCTTCATTCGACTTTCAGAAAAAGTCCAAACCATAGTACCCGGATATAACAATCACTGTTCTGCACATAAAGGAGAAGTCACAAATCTTCTCCCTGCTTCTCCGGTCTCTACGTAGCTGCAAAACATTACCTTCTCGCTATATCCCGCCCTTCTTCGTAGGAAACAGCTCGGATTTTCATGGCTCCTCCAAGCCTGACCAAGATCGCCGTGGAGGCAACGGGCCTTGCTGATTCCGAAACAAAACTGTGGATTGCGCTTGAAGGCTCGAACTTCGTCGTGAACAGCCACCCGATCCCCCGCAATGTCGTGGTCACCAGGGCCGAGAAGGCAGCAGCCGCCGCAGCAGCGTGCTTCGTGGGGTTCGATGCCGAGGTGAGGAGCCGCCACGTGGCTCCGTTGGGGAGGCTGAGGGGCATAAGTTTCATGAGCGTCTTCAGGTTCAAGGTGTGGTGGACCACCCACTGGGTCGGGACGAACGGGGGAGACGTGGAGCACGAGATGCAGATGATGGTGCTGGACAGGAACGACGCCGGTAGTCCCTACGTTTTGCTACTTCCGCTCATCGATGGCCCTTTCCGGGCCTCTCTCCGACCTGGGGTTGACGACTACGTGGATGTTTGCGTGGAAAGTGGCTCCTCCAAGGTGACAATTTATACCATTTTCTTTAGGCTTTTCATGCACCCATCACCAAAAAGAATGTATATACGTTCATTAGACTCGGCATTTGACAACTCTAGCTAGAGATTATTCCTTAACTGTTCAAGTTATGAAGCCTGATACTTTCTGTGTCCTTGCAGGTGTGTAGTTCAAGCTTTAGGAGGTGCTTGTACATGCATGTTGGGGATGACCCTTATGTTCTAATCAAGGAAGCAATGAGAGAACTAAGGACCCACCTGGGGACCTTCAAGCTCCTTGAAGAGAAAACCCCACCGGGCATTGTGGACAAGTTTGGTTGGTGCACTTGGGATGGGTTCTATCTCAAGGTCCACCCAAGTGGCGTGCGTGAAGGGGTCAAGTCCCTCGTGGAGGGCGGGTGCCCGCCGGGCCTGGTCCTCATAGACGATGGCTGGCAATCGATATGTCCTGATGATGACCCGATCACAGATCGAGAAGACATGAATAGGACGGCTGCCGGCGAGCAAATGCCGTGTAGGCTTATAAGGTTTGAGGAAAATTACAAGTTCAGAGACTACCAGAGCCCTAAGGCGTCGCATGAGAAGGGCATGGGTGCTTTTGTTAGGGACCTTAAGGAGGAGTTTGAGACTGTAGAGCATGTGTATGTGTGGCAAGTGTTGTGCGGGTGTTGGGGCGGGGTCCGACCAGATACCCCGGGTATGCCTGAATCACAGGTCTTGACTCCGGTGTTGTCGCTGGGCTTGGAGATGACGATGGAGGATTTGGCTGTCAATTGAATAACGGGATTGGATTGGTGCCGCCTGAGATGGTGCACGAGATGTACGATGGACTCCATTCGCACCTTCGATTGGCGGGGATAGATGGAGTCAAGATTGATGTGATTCATGTATGTTAAAAAGTATAAATTTGTTTTTACTTTTATGATTGATTAGTTTATTGCATTCTGTTGAGCAAAATCCCTAATGAGTTTTGATGAATGACAAAACAATCTATTACTAACCAGAATTACACTTAAGTTATTTGATGCAGGTAAATACTGAGTCATCAAAGGACTTTGTCATCAGACTCAAAATTACTCGTCATACTCAATGAGTGTTATTTATGGCAAGTTTATGCAGGATAATCAAATTGATATTTTAAGATATCCTAATTAGTAATCACAAGATCGTTCCTCAAATACGAGGAACTACACTTATGGAAACCTTGATTTGATTGTATGGACGATCAAATTACTCGGAGATAATGGTTATTCTTCTAACGGCTATGCATCCTATTTTGGGAAGAATCTCCAACGGGTTGATTTGGAGATCAATCCTCTGAAGACTGTCCAACGCATAGATTGGAAGTAGATGAGTATAAAAGGAGTGCAAACGTCGTACAAGAAAAAGAAGAAGAACCAGAATCGAGAATTTCAAAGTCTGAATAGAGCTTCGATCTTACACACTTGTGATTACTGTTTTCCACGTTATAGAAAGAAAATTACTTGAGTGAAGAGTATACGTGATAGTGTGGTCTATCATCTGAGAAACACTACTCTTGTAATCTTCTGGTGATTTAATAGTGAAACACAGCCAACAGGCTGCCAGCGTGGAGAGTGGACGTAGGCTTGATAAAGCCGAACCACTATAAAGATCTGTGTGCAGTATTCTCTATCCCTAAATTTTTATTTATTGTTACTGACATTATACTGCATACATATCTGTCAAACAAGTTCATCAGAACATCGTCTTAGTCATCAGACGCAATCATCTGACGACAATTTATAAGTTTGTCATAAGCATCCATCTGATATTAATCATACGAGTTGTTGACCTCGACTATATTCATTCTGCACGTTTAAATCATATAATTTGGTAAAATCACCTATTCACCCCCTCTAGGTGATAACACTAGCCCTAACAATTGGTATTAGAGCCTAGTGCTCATTTTTCTTTGAAATGTTATTTTACTTCTGAGTTAACGATTCTTGATGGCTAGTAATGCTGAGTCAGGTCATAACAACAGACCACCCTATTTCAATGGAACTGAGTACAGTGTCTGGAAAAACAAGATGAAGACATTCATCTTGGGAATAGATCAAGACATATGGGACATTGTTGAACATGGAATCATCCCAAACGAAACAAAATCCCTAGAAACTTCAAAAGGGCAAAATGAGACACCTTCTTATGATGGAGTTAGAGAGCAAATCAGACCTCAAACTTTACCTCTCTCGGCCAAGGAAATTTCCAGAAGAATCCATCTGGATGCAAAGATCAGAACGGCCATATATAAGGTCTGACAAGTGTTGAATACAAATGAATTGCAAATCTCAAAATTGCGAAAGAAATTTGGGATCGTCTCAAGCTTGTCCATGAAGGAACAGAAAGAGTCAAGGAGACAAATCTCAACATCCTCCTTGGGCAGTACGAGTCCTTCACTCAGAAACCAAAAGAAACAATCTCTGAGATGCAGAGCAGATTCACTGAAATAGTAAATGGGCTCGAATTCCAAAACAATCCCATCTCAGAACTTGTGAAGGTGAACAAGTTGCTGAGAGCTCTTTCAAAAGAATAGAACAACATTAAAGTTTCTATTCGAGAAACTCAGGGGATTAGACCACTCACGGTGGACGAACTTATCAGAACTCTTCAATCCTATGAAACTAAAAAGTTCTTAGAAATTGAAGAACCCAAAGGTAAAAAGTCCATTGCTTTAAAAACTAATATTGATTCTGATGACACAGATATAGATTAAAATGAAGATGAAGATGAAGAGTTGGCTCTAATGGTCAAGAAATTGAGAAAGATGGCAAAGAAGGTGAAGATGAATAAGTCAAAGAAGCAATTCAAGAATTTTGAGCCATCAAAAGCCAAGAAACTAAACTTTCAGAAGAAATCCAGTGCCGAAAACGAAGAAAACAAAGATGTGATATGTTTCCACTGCAAAAAGAATGGACACATAAAGCCCAAATGTCCCTTTCTCAAGAAGAACAAAGGAAAATATGAACGATATAAGAAGGCTTTCAAAGCTGAAACATCGAGTGATTCAGAGGATGAAGAAAGCGAACAAGAGTTTGCCAATATTTGTTTGATGGCAAAATCAGACTCTAAATCAAGTTCTGATGAAGAAGATGAGGTAAGTAATTCAAATATTCCTGAAGCAGTTGCAAATTATATTGATGAATTAATCTCTGTTAATAAAACTGTCTTAAAAAAGATTTCTATATTGAAGAAGGAAATTGTGTCTCTAAGAAGTACGACTCAAAACTTGGAAATTGATGAATCAATTGAATGTTTAAAAAAGGAAAACAATCTTTTAAAACGGCAAGATATTTCGCAAAAGGATAAGATTGATTTCTTGCAAAAAGAATTTAATCTTATCAAGAAGAATAAAGATTTTCTTGAAAAGGAAAATGATTCATTGAAAAAGGAATTTTCTGATATGAAAAATATTTCTAAGGAAAGTTTTGATCACATCTCTAATGAAAAAGAACTTTTGAAAAATGACATTTCTAATATAACTAAGAAATTCTCAATAGGTTCTAAAAATCTTCATCATATTTTATCAATTCAAATTCCTTATTATAATAAATCAGGTCTAGGTTTTGATAAAAATACTGAATTGAAAAATTCTTTTCCGAATGTCAAAGAAAGACTAAAGAAAAGACCTTCTAAATTTAATTACAGAAATCACTTTTAAAAGCAGTTTGTAAAATTCAATGGTCAAACTTCACAAAAATGTATAAATTGCGGTGATTCAAATCACTTTAAGAGTGACTGTCCAAAGGTTTGGAGACCTATTCAGAGAGATATTCTGAGAATAACTGATCCTAACCAAAATGGACCCAAGAAAATATGGGTACCAAATAAAAAGTGACTTACTTATCTTTTGCAGGTAGCAAAGAAAAGAAAGAACAAATGGTACATTGACAGTGGTTGCTCAAGACACATGACCAGAGATCCTCTAAAATTCATTAAGTTAGAAAGAATTAAAGGAGGAAGTGTATCCTTTGGAGGCAACAACAAAGGAAAAATAATTGGCAAAGGAACTGTCAGAATCGACAATCTCATCATCAATGAAGTATCACTTGTTAAAGGTTTGAATTTCAATTTAATTAGCATTAGTCAATTATGTGATATTGGTTACAGAATTACTTTCCAAGAAAACAAATGCTCTGGGATAAGTAAAGACAACGATCAATCATTTACAGGTCGAAGACATGGAAACATCTACCTACTAGACACAAAGTCTGATGACTTGCAATGTCTCGTTTCCATAAAAGAAGAATCTGATCAGTGGCACATGAAGCTCGGACACGTCAGTGTCAAGTTAATTTCTAAAATAGCTTTCAAGAAACTTGTCAAAGGATTGCCAGAACGAAATTTTAAAAGAACATAATTATGTTCAGCTTGCTCTAAAGGTAAGCAAGTAAGAAGTTCATTTAAATCAATAAATTATGTAAGCACTAACCGAGCTTTGCAATTACTTCATATGGACATTTTCGGACCTACTCAAACTCTAAGTCTTGGAGGTAAGAAATACTGTTTAGTTATTATAGACGATTATTTAAGATATACTTGGGTATTCTGTTTGACTCATAAAAATGAAACATTTGAATATTTCTCAAAATTTGTCAAAAAGGTACAAAATGAAAAGGGTTACACTATTTCGAGCATTAAATCTGATCATGGAAGAGAATTTGAAAATCAAAATTTTTCTTATTTCTGTAATGAAAATGGTATTCAACATATTTTTTCTTCACCTTATACTCCTGAACTCATGGGCTTGGAAGAAATTACTGGATATCCGGCTGCAATTTCGGATACATTTTCGTTGGCGTATAGGCAATGGCTCATCTGTATCTTTTTGGTTTGATAATTGGCACCCAATGGGCCCTCTCTCTGACCTTTTCTCTAATAGAGAAATCTACTCCTTTGGCATCCCAAGAAACGCATCTGTCCATGATTTCCTATCCTCTACATGGGATGATTCCTCTTTTATGGAAATTTTCAATTCGTGGACAGACCCGCTCCCCACGATTGTCGATATTCCTGATATATTCGTTTGGCAAGGCCATTCTTCTGGGACATTCTTCACAGCAACAGCTTGGGAGTTGATCAGAATCAAGCGTCCAAAAGTGTTTTGGAGCTCCCTTGTTTGGGACCGTAGCATTGCACCAAGGTATGCCTTTTTGCTATGGCTCATCTCGAAAAATAGACTCCCAACTCAGGTTGTTTTACTCAACTACAACGAGAATCCCGGAAGGACTATGTGCATTCTGTAAATGTAGACCGGATTCAATAGACCATTTGTTCTTTGGGTGCCAATGCACGGGTTCCCTCGCTTTGTTTTGGGCAAGCACTTGCAATCTCTCCTGGCGGAATAAACCATGGATAGATAATCTAAGATGAGCTAGTAAATACATTAATGGTGACAATTTCCATCATCGGATAGCTCGGTTCTCTCTTGGCGCCTTATGTCATATTATTTGGTCCGAACGGAATCATATCCTTTTTCGGAACCATCCCTTGTTTCTACAGGCTATGCGCAATCATCTTGTAAAGGTTGTTCGGGATAGAGGGTTATCCATGAAACCTGTTCAAGACACTCGCCGCAACGGGAAGATCCAAACTAATTGGGGCATTTCATCGTCCATTTTCGCGTAACTTGTTTTTGCGTTCATTCATTGTAACTTCTATAGTTAGTTGGCTGATGTTTAAGCCTTCTTGTTCTGCTTTCATACCTTGTTTAGCCGTAACACTTTTGCACCTATTGGGACACATTTAGGTGTCGCTATATGTGCGGGGTTTTTGTGTTCGGTTACCATCCTTGTAAGCATGGCTTTGAAAAGTTTATACAATACTTAACTTACCAAAAAAAAAAAAAACAAAATGGAGTAGTTGA